GATTCATAGAAGAAGTGGGCTGTAGCCCACGAAAGCTTATGCTCAAATAAATTTGTTAGTCTCTAAGGTGCCACAAGTACTCCTGTTCTTTTTGCGGATACAGACTAACACGGCTGCTACTCTGAAACCTATCTGTACAATCTCATCAAGACTCAACTCTATCAATCTGCAGTTTACAAAACATGTTGCAGTCATAGTAAAACACGGCACTATCAAAAGCATGTAGGCCTCTATTCTGCAAAGCACTTATGCATGTGCTTAAAGTGAAAACACATGCTTAAGTCCCACTGCTTAAGTGCTTTGATAAATAAAGATGGACTCAAGCACTTGCTGAAATTGCTTTGCTGAATGCGGGCCTTGTATAGTGGAGGGAATTACAAATAAAAACATCTCTGCCAGGAAGAACCATTGGTCTACTCAAAGGCTTTTGATAAAATATCCTGGTCCCTGAATGGCATCAGCCCCACCAGCCAGCAGCAATGCCAGCCAGCTCTTCTCCCCACTCGATCAGCCTGGAGCCAACTTGGGATACCTGGTTTGAGACTCCCTCAGGAGCCCATCTACGTGACTGAGTCACATAGAGATGTCAGACTGCAGTTCCATCCCACGTTAGGTGCAAGGTCACTGAACAGAAGCTTCAAGGCCCTGCGCTTTGACCACCCTAGGCAGGATGGTTGAGCACTGAACTGCCCCTGGATACCCAAATTCAGGAAAGTTTCTTTAAACAACTCTGTGATAGTCATATTTATAGGGGGAAAAGGACCCCAATTACCCTGTTCCACATAAAAGGGTCCCAGCTAGGGAGTCAAGAAAAAGATTCCAGGAGTTTAAACTTGTGACAACTCTGGTTCATTATCATTCTCTCCTCAGTGGGGAGAAAATATGGCCTACCAGCTCTTTGGAGTCTGAGAATTCCTGTGGAAATCGGGTCCTATCCTCACAGATCCTAAGGCACCCATATGGAAAGCCAGTTGCTCTCTGCTGTTTCCCCCCATACCCATGGTAGTATGACTCATTCAGGAGCCGTGTGCTGCTAGTGGTCCACTGCTGTGCACTACCGGTTCTGAGGGAGAGAGAAGCTACAGATCATCACTTCTAGCTGTTATGATCCTCATTAAGCTAGGTGGGGAATTCTGCCTCGGTATCTGCGGGTTCCTGAGGAAACACGCTGTGCAGAGCAGCTGCAAGCTGGAGGGGAGGGGCAGAGCTCTGTTCCCCCCTCCTGTGCGTTTTAGGACTTCTCAGCCCCTATTTCCCCTCATCTGCTCCCCTCTATATACTCTGCAACAGAGGGGAGCATTTGGCCCAAGATAATCAGTCTTACAACACTAAACATTTCTAATCGCTAATACCCATGTTAGCAAGAACTTACTGAAAACAGCAGCAGCTGTACAATACCAGATAATAAACAGATGATCTCTCACGAGGTCCTTATGTAGAAAGAGTAGTACACATTAGCACAGTAAGTGGGTCCCATTATTGTTCCCCAACACGGGCAAAGAGCTGAGGGAAAGCGAATAGGAGGAGGGGAAAAAACAGCAAGTTAAGATTAAAACAAACAAGATTAAAATGGGTATATTAACAAGAGTATATGGGGTGGAGGGGTCTAGAATGCCTAACAAAGCACAAAGAGAAGAGAAATACATCATCGGTTAAGGACAATACTACACATGACCTAGAACACAATAACCCTTACAATAAATGCCCACCAAGATACTCTCCTGCCAAGAGTCAGCACCTCCAGGTGATGCAACCACTAATCTAAACTCTATATATCTTATTAAATGACCCTCTAACAATACAAACCTGCCAAGCAAACAACACTACAGCTCCAATTCACTCAACTATTTCCCACAGGCTGGAAGTGTTCTTGACATGCAACCTCCATTTAGCAATTGAGCGTGGTACAAACAAAGTCAGTTGCACTTATAAAACTTAAAATCGAGTTGCATATGGAAATCTAAAACCCTAATGTGCCCACAAGGACAGTACACTCTTAACCACTGGGGTAGGAGAATGACGGTTCAGTGGCATAGTATGGAACATAAAATAAGTTAAAACAAGGAAATACTAGAACACCTCAGTGACTCTATTTCTCAATGCCCAGTGATGTTTATGGACCACACCAAGGTTCCTGGCCAAAGTGATCTTAAGGTGAGACAGCAACAACTCTGATCTTGGAGAAAAAAATGTGACAGCTGCAAGAAGCTGTCAACACATCATGTGGCTCCTTTTCACAGCACTGAGCTTAGATTCGGGGATTGCTATGCTACCAAATCACTAAAGGCAAGTTATCGACAGGTGACATCCCAGACACAAGTATGGGAATATGTTGCAACTTCTTTGGGACACAGACTGTCTTTTTGCTCCGTGCACGTACAGCACCTAGCACAGTGGGGCTCCAATCCCTAATCAGGGCCTCTAAGGCCTGACCTAAATAGTAATAATTAATGGAGGTGCTGGGAAATCTGAAAAGCTCAAAGAACCAGATCAGTGCTTGTTGAATGACCTCCCAATGCTGTGCTCATACATGTAAGCATGTCCTCACCCTCCAATAAAGCATGTTGATCCTGCAACATATACTTGTCAATACTGGGAGAATCACCATATCTTTATCACCAAGCACATTCCGAGATTTTGGGTCAGTTCCATCCACTGAAATCTGTATCTTATTTAAATATGTAGCTTCCTGACAAAAGTATTACCAAATGCACTGCAAGTGACTGCAGTATAAAAGAAATGTCCAACAGTTAACAGAGGTAGCATCTGCAGATAAAGGAGCACTGGGGTAAAAACTGTGCCTTGGGCATCAGATTTAAGAGCTTAAATCAAGCTAAGTGAGCACAATATAAACAGTAGGTTGGAATGACGAGGATAGCGCATTCGAAGGGACAAAACTGTCCCGCCACCACAGTCTGATAGAACATCACTGAAACTCTGCAAGCTTGATGTTTTTGTCAAAGCTTCCTAATCAGCATCATGCACTACATGTAAAACCAGCAACCTAAAAACGAGACAAAATGTACAGGACATGACCTTGAAAGAGGTGATTGCTTCTGTGATTCCAGGAACATCACAGCTCCCCTATCAAAAGTAAACTCTATAGAGGAAAAAAAATGTTCTCAAGAGGCTGACCGTGTAAGTACCCACACCCCTTTTACATGTGCATACAAGACTCCGCAATGACCCACACCTCAGTACTTGGAAAATTAAAGCTAGATTTACAAAGAAAGTTTTTCTGTTCAGGAAAACCAAATTAAATTGGTTGAAACACAGCCTACTGCTCACATCTAGAATTTCTAAGTCTCAGATTTTGATTTTCCCTTTGGCTGAATAAAAATGATCAGACAACAGTCAAATTCCCTCGTTTACCTTTCAACGTTGACCCCTTTTAAAAGGCCTCTTTTGCTTATCTAAACTGCGTTAAGTGTGCTCAATATGAAGCAATGTTACCACTTCAATCTCTGTGCTCTGTACCATCTGGCAAAGGAGAGGATCAATTAACATGACTGGGTTCAGACTTTAGGGCCTAAATAGCCAGAAGGACCATCCTTTGAGACTGCCTCATTTTGCAAGGATTCAACATTAAGAGTCAGAAAGCAGTATAAAATGGGACAAGACCAGTTCATGTTCTACAGCTCCAAGCTGTACAAGGCAACTCGTGCTCTGAGGATGTTGGGCATTGTGCTTCATTAGGAAACAAAATATAAGCTTTCCACTCCATTAGGAATGACTTTAGGAGTGAAAGCACATAAGACGACGACTCACCTCATCAACAATGCACTGCAATAACTGGAGAGGCTGCTATGGAAAGGAGAGAGGGAAAAAGTATTAGCCTATATGCAATATCTTTACAGTGGAGTGGAAAGAAAAAATCATTAATGCAATAAAATATAGCAAGATTAATCAACAGCAGCAAACTCTTATAAAAACATTGATGCTCAGGATGTTCTATTATTTCTAATGGTACCTAATCTAATACAGGCAGTTAAAGGTTTGCATTTTCTTCAAAATGCAATTTGCTAAGTTTAAAACAAGGCATTCAAGCATGCAAAGGAAGCAGCCATCAGGAAAAAGAAAAGTGAATTTTTTTTCTGAACTCATAAAGCTTACCATTAAAGATCCCTGGTTTTTCTGAATCTGAAAAAAGGCAATATGTAATTAGCATGTCATAATCAAAATGACTCACTTGGACACATTATGATCACTGAGAGAAAATTATTGCATCGCTGGTGGCAATTTGTGGGCATGTGTTAACACAATTTACATAATGAAAATACACAAATGTTAATAGCTCGCTTCTCATTTATAGGCGAAAGTCAGCAGAATGTTAATTTCACACAACACTTTTTAGTACCCTCCAGGTTGTATTAGAGTAGGGAGAAAAACCATAATCCATTTCAAAAGGCTGTTTACGATTCAGATATAAATAATGTTTTATATTGCTAGATTGTGAACACTGGGCTTAATGTTGCAATCATTGCTAATGTTATGAAGCTTACTCTTTTTAAATTAAAAACCGATTTATTTAAAATTGAAATTAAATCATAGTCAGAAATTAGAATTTTGGATTACTGCCAGTGTCTGCTCACAATCCCTTTTTTGTGAAGAAAACTTTAATTATGTGGTTGAAGTATCTGCCTCTACTCAGGAAAGACTTCAATACTCCACTTTTATCTAAGTTTCTTATGTGTTTCAAAACAGTTCTACTTTGACTATAAGTAGAACGATGCCATCTGTAAGCCTGGAGAGTTTGGAGAACTTTGTATTGTTTTTAAATTACGAAGGAAAGATTCTTAACCAATGTGTCCCATCTTTTCTAAGTTTCAAATCAGCATTTTGATTGGTGGTTTATTTACTACTCCAGAGCAAAACAATAGTCAATTTCTTACAAAAAGCTATGAAAAATGTTAGGCCACATTAACAAACATCTTATTACCAAAAGTATTAAAAATTATAATTAATCAAAACAGTTTGTAATACAAACAGCTAAATACAAAATACAAGCAAGGTATAGTCCAGGTTAATAACACACACAATCTGGAATGAAATCCTTAAGAACCCAAGTATTGTATTTGGTCTGTTAGTCCACAACACCCCCAGTGCATGTATCGATTAATTACAGTTTTTCACAAACAGGTAAAAATTGTATGGATCCTTTTGTAATCACAAAGCAAACGGCAAAGAGCTGCCTATTTTACAAGGCACTATTTAGTGAAAATGTTGTCTTAGGCTCCAACACAGTTTGCTTGGTTTGCCCCTTCCATTTAATATTCTCAGTTGCATAGTGCCACAATGACAAATGTTGTAGTGCTGCCATCAGCTTTGGAAGCTCTCCCCCCTGTATCCAGCCAGAGGCGTGATCCTCTAGTAATACTTTACAAGTAGTAAAATGCAATATAAAAGAGAGAAAGGAGGCTGAAAACAAATACCGAGAATGTAGCAGGTATTGCTGTATCCAGATACAGTTCTATGCATTTAGAAAAAATGAAAAATATAAATAGGTAGACGCATCTATTTATATTTTTAATGAGCGATTTGAATCTATTTTACTTCAGCAAATCAAACTGGTCAATTTATATTATTGCTCACAGAAGCAAAATATTTAATGAACATAAAAAGAAGGCCCTTTCATACGTGGCTATTGGATGTTAAAAGACAAAATTAGGCCGATTCAGCTTATTAGATGTAGGATACTTCTCAGTTGCCTTATAAAATGTTTTAGTGCAAATGAATAGAGGGTTTCGTTTCCCACCAAAACATGCAGAGTGGAAGTCTCATGTATGTATGCACTGGGAAAATCCATGTCTAATACAAAAAAGAGCAAACTAAAACAAGATCATAATCAACGTTTTTTAAATTCAACACAGAAATGATCACACCTGATCTCAGAATGGGATTTAAAAACATTTCTAAAAAATGCTTTTAATGCTTCTATGAAAGCAACAGGGAAACACAAATAGGAACATTACAGAATTCTTTTAAAGATGTTTTAACTGTATACTACGGTAGCAGGCCCAGTTTCTAAGAGAGAGATACAGCACATTGTTACCAGATTTTATTACGCAGTTTTGATAGCAACATATTATTTGAGATCATCTTCATAAATTTTGCATTAAGGTAGCTGTGCCAGTACCTGGAATTGATTCAAAACACTTAAGACACTCAGGCCTGGTCTACACTAGGCTTTTATGTCGAATTTAGCGCCGTTATATCGAATTAACCCTGCACCCGTCCACACCACGAAGCCATTTAGTTCGACATAGAGCCCTCCTTAAATCGATTTCTGTAATCCTCCACAACGAGAGGAGTAGCGCTAAATTCGAAATGGCCATATCGAATTAGGCTAGGTGTGGATGGAAATCGACGGTAATAGCTCCGGGAGCTATCCCACAGTGCACCACTCTGTTGACGCTCTGGACAGCAGTCCGAGCTCGGATGCTCTGACCAGCCACACCCCGGGAAAATTTGAATTCCTTTTCCTGTCTGGGCAGTTTGAAGCGCAGTTTCTGTTTGGACACCGTGGCGAGCTCAGCAGCAGTGGCAGCAGTGGCAACGATGCAGAGCTCTCCAGCAGAGATGGCCGTGCAATCCAATAGAAAGAGGGCCCCAGCATGGACGGATCGGGAAGTCTTGGATCTCATCGCTGTGTGGGGAGATGAGTCCGTGCTTTCCGAGCTGCGCTCCAAAAGACGGAATGCAAAGATCTATGAGAAGATCTCTAAAGCCATGGCAGAGAGAGGCTACAGCCGGGATGCAACGCAGTGCCGCGTGAAAATCAAGGAGCTGAGACAAGGCTACCAGAAGACCAAAGAGGCAAACGGACGCTCCGGATCCCAGCCTCACACATCCCGTTTCTACGAGGCACTGCATTCCATCCTAGGTGCGGCCGCCACCACTACCCCACCCCTGACCGTGGACTCTGAGGATGGGATATTGTCCGCGGCCGGTTCCTCAGCGGACGGGGAAGAGGAGGAAGGAGATGAGGAGGACGAGGCAGTAGACAGCGCTTACAACGCTGATTTGCCCGACAGCCAGGAGCTCTTCATCACCCTGACAGAGATCCCCTACCAACCCTCCCCAGCCGTTACCCCAGACACAGATTCAGGGGAAGGATCAAGCAGTAAGTGTTTTAAATATCCAAACATTTATTTACAACATAACTGGCATATTTAAAATATTAACAGTAGCTAAAGTGCTTTAAAACATGTAAACATTTATTTGCAACAAAACAGGAAGATTGAAAATATTAACAGTGGGTAAAGTGCTTAAAAACATGTAAACAGGAAAGTCAAACAAAAGGGGAATCAGTGCAAAGTGTATCATGATTACTCCGTCTTTGGGCGCCTCAATATATAGTCCGAACCATTTTAAAAAAATCTCACAATGTCCGCTTCATGATTATAGTGCCCAAAACCCTGCAGTCATTTGTCCCTCCAAGGGCACCTAAGCCAAGAACTGGTCAATGTAACCGGGGATCGAGGCGACATCCTCCGGGGAGAACTCCTCATACACCTCCTGCAGGTGTTTTTCAAGCCTCATCAGCAGGTTCCTGGGCAGGGACAGCTTATTAGGCCCCCCGTGGTAGGACACGTTTCCCTGCCACAACGCCAGCAGGTACTCCGGGATCATGGCCTTGCACAGCAGTGCAGCAAATGGCCCCGGTTTCTGCAGGCTGTCCCGGAGCATCTTCTCCTTCTGGCTCTCGGAGACCTTCAGGAGGGTGATGTCAGGCATGACTCCCTGCTGTGAATTAGGTAGGGGAAAGTTAGTATTGGGACTGCTTGCCCGTCCCTTTACAGAACTGCAACCGCCGGTTTACAGCCACGCGGTTTACAGCCGCGAGGGGCTGGGACAGGGCCAGAGTTCATGCTTGCAGGATTGCTGCCAGCAGAGACTCGCATTGCTTTCTATGTGAAAGGAGGCCAGTGCCACTCTTAAAGTTTTAAGCGGCCACAAGTCTACGGCTTACCATGTTTGCCATCTAGACAAAGTCCGGTGTCCTGCCCTGCTCCTCAGCTCGCCACAGCAAGACCGCAGGCACTGTAGGCGAGGGCCGAAAATTCGACCTTGTCCTCAGTGCGCGTGTGATAGGTGCTCTGCATGGTCTTGTTCACAGAGAAAGACTATGTTCTCTGTTCACAGATACATTGCTCTGTCTCAGGAATTCACTCCCTTTTTCCAATTCCCACAGCCACATCTGCCCAGAGGCTAGCGCACATTAGGAGGAGGAAGAAGAGGACACGGGAAGACATGTTTGCTGAACTAATGGAATGCTCCCGAGCACAGGCAGCCCAGCAGACACAGTGGAGGGAGAACTTGTCCCAAATGCACCGGGCAAACATTGAACGGGAGGAGAGGTGGCGACAGGAGGACAGGCAGGCTACTCAAACGCTGCTTGGACTAATGAGGGAGCAAACGGACACGCTCCGCCGCCTTGTGGATGTTCTGCAGGACCGGAGGCAGGAGGAGAGAGCCCCGCTGCAGTCTCTCTGTAACTGCCCTGCCCCGCCACCAAGTCCCATACCCCCCTCACCCAAAGTCCAAACACGGAGGGGTGGAAGGGGCCGGGAAAAATTTCACTCCACCCCTGCGGACTGCTCTACCACTAGAAGGCTCTCATTCCCCAAAATTTGAAAAGTCCTTTCCTACCCGCCTCACACAAGACCCCGTCCAAGTTTCACCCCCCCGTTCCATGTGCGGTTGTTAATAAAGAATACGTTTCTGTTCATTTCTGTTTCCATCCTCTTCTTTTGGAGGGGAGTCTGTCTGGAGGGGGGGGAAGGGCCTTGGTCATTGGACAGGACAGTCACCTTTAGCAGGGGGCAGGTGCAGCAGCAGGGCACATATACAGTGCAGTGACTAGTTATCCTGGTCAGTCTGGGAGGTGGTTTTCATGTTCTGTGTGGTGGGGGCGGTGGTGTTGCTCTGTGACTTGGTGGCGGGGGAGGGCAGTTACAGATCTTATGCAGCGGTCCTTACCCTGGATCACAGAGCCGCGCAGCAGGGGATCTGTAACCCTCCTCCCCCTGCAAGACAGTCACATAGCCGACACATACACGCAGTCCCGGCCAGGAGGGCTGGCAGGCTCCGTTGAAACAACCAGTCCACCATCGCGGAGCCTGTCATTCCTGGAGTTT